CTCTCACATTCACAGCCTCGTATGTTGGCAGACGATACTCACTTGACATATGCGGATAATGATATCGCTAAAATCGAACTTAATCTCACTAATAATCTTGAGAGTATTCGTGAGTGGCTTATTGTTAATAAATTAACACTGAACATGTCCAAAACTGAATTTATGGTGGTAGGTTCGGAACAAAGAGACTTTATACGTTTGATAATGCTCCAGTACTTACAATCGAAGGGGCTCCTATCAAACAGGTAAAATCAACCAAGTCTCTGGGCCTTCAAATTGATGCGCGTCTCTCATGGTCTGTTCACGTTGATGCCATTTCAAAAAAAATCGCCTCTGGCATTGGTGCGCTAAAACGCATCAGGCCTTTTGTTCCTCGTACAACTCTGCATACTATTTATCATTCACTAATTCAACCACATTTTGACTATTGCAGTGTTGTGTGGGGGAATTGTAATAAAACTCTTGCTACTAAAATGCAGAAGTTACAAAACCGTTCGGCTAGGGTTTTAACATTTTCCGGCTATGATACCAATGCTGATGGTCTTCTTCAAGACCTTGGATGGGAAAACCTTGAAACACAGCGCCAAATTCATCAGGCTATTATGGTCTATAAGTCGATAAATGGTTTGGCTCCTGAATATCTTCGTTCAAAATTTGTTGATCGTAGCTGTGTTTCGGGTTATTCTCTTAGGGACACTGTTGGCAAACTTGCTGTTCCTTTTCCTCGTACTAACTACCTAAGAAACTCCTTTAGTTATAGTGGTGCAGTAACATGGAACAGCCTTCCTGTTGAGTTGAGGCAAGCTAATTCTTTAAATTCGTTTCGATATGGCTGTAATAAATTTCTCTCTTCTCGATCGTAATACCTAATTAATGCACGGCACTCATGTAAAGAAGGTTTTTCTTTTGTCATTTCTTAGTATGAATTTATATATTGTGTTATTTATATTCTAAGTAGTGTGTTATTAGTTTTATGCATAATTTTGTAGATTTATTTATATATATAGCTATATGTATGTAATCTTAATCCTGATGAGTACACCGTGGATAAATAAAGTTACCTTACCTTACCTTACCTTACCTTACCTTACTACTACTCGGGAAATCGCGATGGTTTCCGATGATGTCCGGTTTCGATACGAGTGCAACCGGAACGCGTTCCCCATATGCGTTCCGGTAACAGTGGAACTCAAATGGAACGCAATTGGAACGCGAATGGAACGCGAATGGAACGCGAATGGAACGCAACGTTCGGGACGCGTTCCGAACGCGTTTTCTGTTAGGTTATTGCTGAGCAGTACTGTATATAGGAGTGAAAAGTTCAGGCCTGCATGGTACGTGTTTTGACGTTCACAAATTCGACATATCGCTTTTGCAAAACCAATTTGTGTTCACTTGCTCTGCCGCTCAAAACCACATATATATTCAGTCAGCGCTTTTCTACTGAAACGACAACAAAAAAGGCACGCATATTTTAATTTTTAAATTTTCAAGCCTGTGTACAGACAGCATTAAAGCTTGGTCACACCACATCACACAACGATAATGACAACTAGCTTGTATGCGCTGATTGGTGAAAATATTTATCGTTATTGTCCGATTGAAAAAAAGTCGCTTGTGTGAAAGATTTTAAAATCGTTATCGTCAAACGATAATTTTATCGTTTTAGGTGTAGTATGAATCCAGACATGGCATGTTTACAAGTTATCATATCGTTATCGTTGTGTATAGCCCGTTTGCTGCGTCTCGATATCGTTCACTTTTGTAGTGCATGTGGTGGAACTGAAATATTTTTACGGGAACTAGCACTTTCAAACACGCTGAGTTCAAATCCGAAGAGTTCCCGTTCCGTAGGTCTTGCGTTTTCTCACAAACTAGTATTTTATTTTCTCTAATTTCTTGACTAACTTTTTCTTTGTTCATTGACACGGATGGACGATGACACACTCTTATGTAACTCAAAAGGACTAACTTCTATTAAATCCTAGTTTCCATTTGGTCGTTAGTTGTCGCTGGCACGACAAGCGGTAGATGTGAAATAGTCTAATAATAATAGTCTTTTGTGTGTTATATGCAAATCAGTCTTAATGATTGCAGAGTTTTATAAAGTTTTGTTGACACTCTATTACATCAGCCACTTGCCGTGCCAGCGACAACTAACGACCAAATGGAAACTAGGCTTAACAAGTCTTCCTTTTAACAAAAGACTGTTTTGCTCGAATCATTTTGAGTCATGTAATCTTATGCGTGTTGAACGTAAACAACATATATCGTTTACAACTTTGGGAAGGTACAGATAACGCTATCTAACATTCATAGTTCTAGCGATATCTCTATAAAATCACAAGGACGTTAATGCTAAGTCGTTTGGCAATGTCACTGGCCAGATAAATAGCTCGTTTAGCGCAATCATGGTATTTAAAACAACAGAACGCAAATCCAACGTAACGGCAAAAACAACGCTAACATGAAATATTGTCGATTGGTTGCTAGTTGAAGACTTACGTCAGAATCAATCATAAATTCTTCTAGAATAAATGTACACATTAAAGACAAAGAACAGTACGAAAGTATAAAATCTGCTCTGTAAACTTACGACGAAGTAGAGAAATGTGTCCATGAGCTGTGTATTTGGTGATTTCAACATATATGGAAGCTTTCCCCGATAATATTCGCTTATCGCGCAGAGTGACACCAACTGATATAATAGTTCAAATGCAATGATAAGTTACCTCTTGAATTACGTCTCAGAAACAGTGTTGAAAATTTGAATGCTGACCCATTACATAAGATTACCGTTTTACATCGCGGTATAAACATTTTGATCGCATGCCAAGGAATTCTCATCATTCATCCGTGTCGTTGAACAAAGAAAAAGTTAGTCGTGAATTTAGTGAAAATAGAATAGCAGTTTGTGAGAAAATGCAAGGTCTACGGAGCGGGAACTTTTCGGATTTGAACTCAGCGTGTTCGACAGTACGTGTTAGTTCCCGTAAAAATATTTCAGTTCCAAGACATGCGCTACGGAAATCGTTTTCTAGGCACTTTTAAAGGCCACAGCAAACGGTCTAGTAGTGTGACCTAGGCTTTATGTCGTAATACATTATGTGAATATTCGTAGCATTGCTTAGCGACCCCAGCAGCGCTACCCAGTTGGGTAGTTGATTCTGATTGGTCACGACTGCACGTAATGGACTCTGATTGGCTGGACTTAAATATCAACGAACGTTGGAGTTTGATTTTTAAAATTGGGATAATAATTTCTTAATTGATACTTGATGTTCATCATAAATTTTACTGCTCTCTGTATTTGTAACTACTAAATTCTCGTTGCAAAAATGTTTCGGATGTTTTGTAAAGTAATATGATATCCTATTGAACAAATAAAATGCAACAAATGAGTTGAAATTATCGCCAATTCCTGAGCGTGATGTGACTTGTTTACGTATCGTATTCACCCCACATTCCCCGTGTGCATTATTACACCATAAACGCACGCGACTGGTTCTCTATTTCTCAAATTAAGACGCTTCTTGTGTTGAAATTATGAGACACTACGAAAAACGGTGTTAAAAAGAAGCAATATTATTGATGTACGGCCGCCATTTCACTTCTGCCTATTATGGACGAGGCACTTCAATCAGCTGATTGACGGAATTCTTTCTGTATACATGCATTCAAGTAATTTAATTATAACAATATTTATTCTAACCTGAGTAGTTACCAACATTCAAAATGTAAACTTCACTTTCATTTCCCATAGAAAATGATTCATAAACTGCATAGGCTGTCTCGTTCTCAAAACTTTCGAGATCAACTCTCAGTACATTCTGCCCACTGGCTGAGAGGCGATGAATCTTGTCCAAACCGAGCCAGAACTCACCAGACAAATTGCCAAATCCAGTTTTGTAGTCAGTCCAGTTTCTGTAAAAGTCCTCAGAGCCATCTACACGTCTTTGGAATATAGTCCAGCCCCACCCTGGGGTGGTTTCCATATCACAACGAACACGAAAAGCTCCATGGCCGTCTGGGTCGATTGTGTAAATCCCGGTGGTTGACTTGCCTGATTTGTACAGGTCATTACAACATTTTGCTTAAGGAAAAAGTATATTAAGTATACTACACTCCTAACCTCAACATAACCTCAACCAATTATTAACCCAATTTCAACCAAACCTCAACCCAAGTTCAACTTAACCTAAAACCAAATTTTACTTCAACTTAGCCTCAATCTTACCTCAACCTACTACAACCTGACCTCACCTAACCTTGAACGATTACCCTGTTAATTGCAATGAATGTGTTTGAAGTTATCATACCATAATTTACTTTTTCTTGTTTTTGTATTTCCTGCAATAAAAAATATATATTTAATTTTTGCATTATGAAGTCATACACCAAAAATATTAAATAGAATATGCGTATTCGATTCCTATCTTTGCAAAAATATCTAGAGAAATCGTTGTTTAAAAATATAATTTCGACGTTGCTGCAAATACCTAAACAAAACTCAAAGGACAAAATTGAAGTCAACTATAACACAACCGTTTTACCCTAACATATCGATTTTCATTAATTAATCTTGTTAGATTGACACAATAATTTTGCATATCTTTACCTCCTTCAATGTAATTAAAATGACAGCTTTCAACTCAAGACAATTATGTACGGTATAGTTTTTGTATTAGTAGCGTTGTAGCGTCCAGAAAATGTCGGCAAAATTCCATTTTGCCTTCCAATCACGATTTCTTTCCCCTCGCGATTTTGTGAAAGGTGGGATTGGAAAAACGGGGATACTTGATAAGACCCAATTTGTTTCATTTATCAACGACATAAACAAAATTATTGCTTGCCTAAAACTTTGTTTTCCATTGTTTATACAGAAAAGCCTATAAAACTATACCTTTTGCACCGTCAGCGGTTCATAATAATCATAGTTTTCATTAGTCAGCAAATTCTGAGGATGTGCTGTTTTCGTGGCGTTGTTAAGCTGGCAGTTATTAGCAGCATGCTTATGTTTTCTCGCTTTGTAATTGATTGATTTACAGTGAGAAGGTTTTCTGAGGCAGTATAGAGAACATTCCAAGAAATTCAGTGTGTTGTGTTCACTGATCACATGGTCGCATAGACGGTAACCTGCAGAAAAGTTAAAGAAAATATCAGAGACGCAAGTATAACTCGGCAGAATGCACTTACACTGAAACAACTCAATCGCGTGCGTGAAGAATAAATTGTATTGGACTGAAGTAAACACTGCATGATTTTCTCTATGTTCCATGCGATAAAGCTGGAACATATTTTTTTTATAGAAATGATAAAGATACCCTGTATAAATACAGTTATTTTTTTTATTGGTTCCTTCCATTCCAAAAGGGGTTATGCCCCGGTGTCCTCACAGCAGTTAAATGTTAACTTTTCAGCAACCCACTCCTGCTGCGGAAAAAGCAGTAAAACCGTACTACTAATTACACTTTTGCAATCTGAAAACCACAGGATCCATGGTGTTCTATAAGACATTTTCAGGCTTTTCAGTTATGCAACGTATTCCCTGATATGAACGCATAATCTCACTTTATACTCAAACCTAATTTTAGTTTCTTACCAAATTTTAATTTCATTGCGGCACTTACCTGACACGGACAATTTTAACAAAGCACTTGAGTGCGAAGAACCACAGGTCTTTGTGTAGAGCAGTAACAGATAGACAAAACGAATATGACCAGAATTCATGACTGCTGAATATCGTTACTTCCAAAATTTCTTCACCCGCGCAATACAATTCAAATTCACTCGGATGTCAGTCTTTATATAAACATATGAAATGTTTTCCATGACTACGTTAGTTTAACAAAATGCTTAACAAAATGGAGCTACCGGTACCCGTTGCCAAGATACGAATACGGAATCGGGAAACTTTCCCATACCTTTTACGTGTGGCTCTGGAATTATAGCACTTTTTCAATGCCGTTAGTATACAATTGTATAAGAAAGTATAGTTAAAGTTATAGTTAGTGGAAAAGTTTGCCGCAATCAGAATCGCGCTGATATATGGGAGTTAACTAACAATTTAACTACGCAACGGGTGGTTAAAAAGTAGTTAAGAGTACTGTACAATCGGTTCCTAAATTTTAAATGCTGCAGTTCGTCTTTAAAAAGTGTTAATTACGTTCAGCATATAGATTATAATATACGAAAAAGAGGCACTACGGTTGCTGAAACATTCGCAAAATATTGCCCACCACAGATTTGCGAAATCTCTTGCGGTCGTTCCGCGTGTTTATGTGGCGATATTCCTCAAAAAGCAGCAAGGAGCGTTTTTCTAGCTATTAGTATTGAATAAGATTCTCACTCAATAATTGAATATGCGATTCTAGTGTATATATATAAGTAGCAAATTACCAGCGAACAATGCCACTGAATTATTACAGTACCAAGCTACCCGAAAGATATGGCGAGAACTTTGATGTTTTTGAGCGAAGGACATTCGTCTTGAAAAGTCCAGTGCTAAACTCTGTAGCTTGTTATATTTTACAGGTATACTTTCTTTCTATGCCTAAGTTATTCCTTGCAGTATGTTCACCAAATACTCACCTATATCTTGACTCACTTTCAAACGACTCTTTTTTCTGTAGAAAATCAAGCTCCTACTTCTAGTATTATGCTCAAATGCTTAATGACCTCTTTTTCTATAAGCGTGATGCATTTAATGTAGCCTCATAATAGTCGTTAATTTATTATTAATCTTTGAATATATAAATACTATTTATTAAAAAGTAGCTGACAGAACAGATCGAGTATTCCTTTCAATTTAAAGTGCCAATTTTGAAGTCTGAACATTTATAATGAGAAGACATTTTTAATTTAAAATCAGTCAAATTATTCGCCTCCGAATTGTTAGATGTTTATCAAGAAAATGTCTTTTCCTGCATGGTTTGAAAGATATAGCTTCCAGAATCTCTTGTAACAAGTTTTTTACGCTGGATAATGAGACGCGAGGCAACCATATGGCAGTGACCTCATTAAATATTCACCAGTGATTTTAAGACGAAAGAGAGGGCACTATAACGACCAATTTATGTCTAGATCATACGTATCCTTTCCCAGCAATAACGAGAAAGTGTTAGAAACTCTTCTAGCATGCCAGCAATGCCACAGTATAGATTCCCGATGTTTTTTGTTGTTCCAAAAAAATGTTGATTTATTCATTAATTTTAGTGCTAGTTTTATGCAATTCTTTAATCAGTACCTGACGAAGTTAATCGCTTAATGTCATCCATTTGACGTAGCTGGCGCCGCAAAGAGCAAAACGTGACAACCAGGTCCATTAATCCATTATAATAATCAATTTATTCATCGAACTCAGCGGGTAACAGCCATTGCTGCATGCAAACATGTACTGTTTTAGTTCATAATAGGAACATTTTCGAGGAGGAAAACTGAAAATACCCGGGGCCATCATGCACGAAGCCGCGAAAACTGTCCGTGATTAGAGAGCGTTCATAATTTATGCGGTGTAGGGCTATGGGCATTTTGCATTTTGACGGAATATTTTTAAATAACCTTTTCTCGCTTGATGTATTTTTGGTGAGCCTTCCCTCCCGGGCCCCCTTTCCTTTGTGGAAAGCCGAAGAACTATACTTGAAAAGATTAAATTGGCATTTTGTTTGTGTGTGTTGTATTGTAGGCACTATTAAAATAATAACTAGCTTAAATCTGATAATATTTAAGGTTATAACTTAAAATACTAGAATAACATTACAGCTGCACTTTATATATCTGCCTGTGAGAAAAATGAAATCTTCCATATAAGATTTTTATTAACACTTTACAACTGGAGTGAGCTTTCCCATGACAAGCAAAATCATCAGACTGTACCCAAGTAAATTAGCTGCTGTGATAATCCATGCATCCCTCCCACCTTTACTCATCCAAAAAAACTTAATTGTCCATTTTTCACCTATAGCAAAAAGCTGCCGCCAGCAGACGTGAGCAATATTTGAAACTCATGATGTCACGAAAAACAACAAATGCAATGCAATTTACTGCGTTTCTTACATTTTCCCCATGAAAGTAGCTACAGTCAGAATAACAAATAGATAAGATTTTACTGTTGTCTGTTCAGTTATAGATCCACAGTGTTACGTCATGATGTTGGAAGAACAAAGAAGTGGCTCACAAGTAGCCGAGACGAGTATGTCACATTATGTCACACTGTGTATCAATAACTGAACAGACAACGACAAAATCTTATCCATTTCTTTTATATAATAAAAAGAAAACCCCCGAATTAAACAGGTAAATAGCTTACATTTGACCCACCCAAACATTTGGAAATTGGGAAATGTTTAAATTTTACAAATATTACATATACATGATATGTAGAGTGGGCTGCAATGTTCAATAACATTATCAATAATTCAAATTGCACTCTGTATTAATGCGGCCGTGGATGCAAACGAAAATTTAGAATCTGCATTGACTGAAACTTGATTCTAACAAAATCCTGAACCCTAACCATCATTCAACCTTGTTTAATTTGGATTTCAGGCCTAGGGTTGCCTTAGGGTCAGGATTTATACTCAAATAGGCTTTATAAATTTTAATTTCTTTCCTTTCATTTGCATATTTAGTGTATCCGACATAAAATTACCACATTTGTCCACAGTAAGTGGTTAATTGCGTGCGGTTTAGTTTGTTATAACATTGTTAACATCAAATTATGAATGGACTTTTAAAAATGGGGAATAGTAAATTTTGCACGCAGAGTATGCCCGTTCGCAGTTTAAGTCATGCACAGCACCTAACCTGCGAACGGGCATACTCTTGGTAGGTATCAAGGCAAATCAGTAATGAGTTTTGAATGTTCTTGACAATTTAAATTATTATTTATTCTAACGAATTCAGTCATGGTTTCTGATTGGCTAACAGCCAAAAAATCGTCATATAAACATTATATATAAACAAAAATATGAATTCAACGGAGTGACGTCATAATGTTGATATGAGAAAATCATATAGCTGTGGAGATAATGTTGAAACACGATTAAAACAATATATGGCGCCGACTTTGGTTCAAAAGAAGCGAATTTTAAATATAAAGAAGAAATATCAAAGAAAACAACCAGGAAATGTTTTGAAACGTCTTAAATTAACGTAGCTAGTTGCAACGACAGTTTCTTATAAAACAACTATATATAGGGAGACACCTTAAAATTGTAGAAACAACGGAAACTTCATAAAGCAACTCACTATATTATTTTATATTTGTTTTTTTTCCCCACCATATTAACGGCTGTAATGAGAATCTCGGGGGTGGGGGGGGGGTGGGGGTGGCTGTGTTCTCTTGAAATAATTCCTTTGTTGTCTTGTTCGCCACAAAGATTGCACCACATTCCCTTTTTCCCCAAGTTTATATGTTCCCCTAATGTTCCCTATGCCATGTTCACTTGTTCCCTATAAAGCAATAAATTCAGTAAGTTGATGCTAGCAAGTTTTATTTTTTACTGAACCAAATACGAGTAAGTTTAAACACGGAGCTTAAGATCATTTACAATAAATTTGTCACCAACGTTCGAGGTTTAAGGGAGGCCTAACAGGCAATACTAAGCGATTGTGATCACTCTATTTACATATAAATGAATAATTCATAGCGACATATTCATAAAATAATTCATCACGACTGCATCCAGTGATATTAACAATGCATAACCACATAAGGCTGCTTTGTATTTATGCGTTTTTTCATATACGTACGCAGTATTCGCATAGAAAATAAGTTAAACAAGACGCCTATTCAGGCGTTCACACTGACCTGAAAATGATGACATGCGCGCTATGGTGCAATCTCGTTCCCTGAGCCTGTGGTCCTTGGGAAGGAAACGAAGGCTCTGGGATAATCCGTTTCAGGGAGGAATCCGATTGGCCGTTGATATGGAATGTGCAGTTCAATCTTGGCCAGATTTCCTGGCTTTCGGCAACAGATTATCCCAGAGTTTTCGTTTCCTTCCCGAGGATCGCAGGCTCGTGGAACGAGATTGGCTATGGTGTAATAGACAAGGGAATGGAGAGCAAGAGAGTTCGTATAGAACAGTTTCAGCGGTAGATACGGTAGATTTATCCAAAGAAAATCAATAATTTGACAACAAAAAGCAGAAGGCAGAAATCACCACTTTATCATTGGCAACTTTTCAACCCTATACCATGCAATTAGTAGTAGTATTAGTAGTAGTAGTAGTAGTAGTAGTAGTAGTAGTAGTAGTAGTAGTAGTAGTAGTAGTAGTAGTAGTAGTAGTAGTAGTAGTAGT